ATTGAACAAAGTATAGACACCAGAATAGGAGGTTTCTGCCTATTCTGTGAAGGAAAAAATTAACAGAAAAGATAAGATGTGAGCGACCCCTTCTCTTTCCCTCACAGTCAAAACTAGTGGTGCCCGTGGTGTGGATATTCACAAGCAGAGGGCACGTTCTGCCCTTTACAGAACATAGACAAAGAAAATTGCAAGGTGCTGAGGGGAGATCTACACTTAGCTCCTTGGTGCTGTCAGAGGCTGAGGCAGTTTTTACAATGCTGCCACGTGCTGTGCTTGCAGCACACAGAGGATCCAGAATTGTTTTGGAGTTCTGGAATGAAGATGGGTAGAAAGCAGATCATGAAAGTACCAGAAAGATCAGCAGAGCAGAGGTATCTGGAAGCAACATTTGTAGAAGGATTTCCCACCAAAACACCACAGGGCTTCTGTTCCTGTGAAAGCCACCCCTGGCTAACAAGTGATTCCTGGTCATGGCAAAGCAAATAAATGTCAGATAGGGAACACAGATCTCTGTAAGTCAAATTCTCACTTAATTCTGTTGTTTGTTCCTTATATATTTTCTCATTACTTAATGAGCTAAATAAAATCTTTGACATTTGTTCATTTTTTATTTGTGTGATAATCATGGTTTTAGGTGCTTTTTTAAATTATAATTTTTGCAGAAGACAATGAACATTGCCCTCAAAATGATAGTATCTTACAATTCTATATTTAGTGAAAATTTCCTTCAATATTGAAAATATTGAAAGCCAGACATTTGGAGCAAATTAAATGTGAGAGATTCAATTAGAGCAGACTCATAATAAAGGAAATATTAAAGAGAGATGTTTTTTCCCCCTTAGGCAGAAGGGAAATAATTCATATGTAAGTAGGAAATGCAGAAAGGAATAAAAAGCTAAGTATTTTTGGAAATTTAAGTGTGTGTTGACTATATATAAATAAGTAATAACAATGTCCAGAGTTTAAAGTATTTGTAAAATGGAAACATACAATGATAGCATAAAAGATGACAGGAAAGAAATGGAATAAATGTATTCTTATGTCAGAACAGTGTCAAGAAATGGGTAAAATACAAATTTATTTTGCAATTTAATAAATCACAGTGGCATTTTTAATAGTGAATTAATAAAACCTTCCCCACACTCAGATTAGAAATAAAACAAAGCTAATCATTATACTATACCTCTTCAATGTTGTACTATAAAGAATGTTCAGTAAGAAAAGAAAATTAAAATCATGATAGGAGGGAAAGGGCAAAAATTAATAAAATAGCTGAAAAATTATAGAGAGTATCAAGAAACCAAAAATTGATTTTTAATGCACGTATAAAATCATAGAGCTTCTAAATAGCCTAATCAAGAAAAGGAGATAAAGCACAAATTTGCAGCACCAAAAATGAATGAAAAGATATGCCACACATTTTAAAAGCACAGTGAGGGAATATTGTAGACAGATAGAATGTATGTTTGATGGTTGGCCAGCGTGAGTCCAGATTAATGCTTCTTCTGTAACAGGGCATGTAGGATTCACCCAGGGGCCTTTTTATGAAGTTGTATTGTTTTTTAGGCTAGTCCCATAGTCATCCCACCCTGAATAGAATGAGAAGTATTGGAGTACCATATTGTATGCATATATGGACGTGTAATTTGAAGAAACCCCTAAAGTTGTTCTAATAGAATTGCCTTTCCATCCACAACTGTCCTAAAAGAAAACCTCTAATATAAATGGATCAAGGTCAATTTCTCACACTAAAGGATAAATCCTCCAAAAGCCATCGATTAGGATCCTCATTCTGTACATGATGAGTTCGGTAATAAAACTCTGAAGAGGACAATTGCATTTTACATAGAATTTTTTGTTTCCTATTAAGTAAAGATGTTTTAGCTCATTGAATCAGCAGCAGTAGTGAGACTCAAAAAAACTTTTAGATACTTAAGTCTCACCTGCAGAGATATAAGGTCAGTTGGTCTGGTCTTGTTCAATCACTGGCATCTTGTCTTTCTCTCTTCTTTTCCCTTCCCTTCCCTTCCCTTCCTTCTATCCTTCCTTCCTTCCTTCCTTTCTTTCCTTAATTTTTTTACTGTTTCTCAGGGAATTCTAATACACAGAACTGAGAAACATTTCTCAAACTGTTCAGAATTAAATGGGAAAAACCACATAGGTGCTGTTTGGTAATTTCGTTTATATCTTATGAAGAGTTCCGAGCTCTCTTGTAATTTTTGTCAAGGATATTGTAGAAATGGATACAGAGATGTTATATGAACTTGACAGAGTGATAGCAAATTATTAGAGCGTCCAAGTGCACAGAGTCATTCATTGTTTACGGACTGTAATACGCAAGACTTTTAAGTAGTAAAGAGACAAGGAGAATATTCTGAATGAAAAATCCTAGAAGCTCTGGGAAGAAGTGGACAAGTATGTAGAAAAGTAGATCAGGAATAGATAGGCAAGGGACTGAAACAGAAGAGTGAAAAACAAAGCAAAACAACAGGCAGACAGGAAAGAGAAAGGATGCACAACTTAAAATGTTAGTCAATTTTTTATTAATTGTTATAACTTTCCACTACTCTACCTGATACCATATCCAGGTTTGGGGCCAATATTAAAGTAGTTATCCAATACATTCTTCTAAATTAATTTCCATTCCATGAAAAAATTTAAAGATGAATTATTGTATTTAATGTGCACTTTTTACATTTTTTCCAATAGATTTTTACATGATAGAAATTTACCTTTAAATGGCATTTCAAAGATAGAAACAAAGACAGAACAATTAAATACAAAACAAAAGCAAAACCTTTATTCTTTTGGCTTGATTGTAATGTGGTTTACCGTTCTTTATGGTAATAGCATTTTCCTGCATGCATTTCACCAGCACACTACGAGTCAATAGCTTTAGTATAAAGAATCTACATTTATTGTTGCTTGTGAAACACAAATATTTTGTTGTAACTGGTTAATAACTTCACTACCTGGTTTTGTGGAGGGGGGGGGCTTGGATCCCATATTACATTGAATAGAGTGCTAGTGCCATGTGGGTAAATAAGAATAAGATTTATCCGTGTAAACAAACATCGGAAAAGAATGATGATTGCTGAATAAAAAGACTAGGTGGAAACATCTGATTCAAGCAATGCCAAGAATATCAGCTGATTTTTCCGTAAGCCTCTTTCGATGATAAGGCATTACTATTTGAAAGGAAATAAACATTGAATTCAGTTGGAGGTTCGTTTCACATTGAAATGTGTGCAAGTTTACAGTACTAATAAAAAAGCAGAAACCTACACTGCATCTTAGTCCTCGTGTTCTTATTTTGTGAAGTGCTTTCATTGAAAAGTGCTAGGAACAGAAACTAACAATAGTGACTGTGACATCGATCCGAAGATACTTTTAATTTCTCCTTTTATGTACAAAAGGCTGAAAAATAAAATAAAATGAACTTTTTACAGTATTTATATTTTCTTAGAAAACTCTAACCATATATTTTAAACAGATTTAAGCAGCTTGCGACGTTTGTACAGTCAGGCTTTTCACCACAGAGTGTTCAATTAAGATTGGAAGAAGAAAAAGCAAGAAGCTCTTCACTGTTTGCTGCGACCTATTGCTTAATGACATGAAGAATGAGGTCTTGGTCGAACAATTTGTTTCACTTTACCACTGACATATGGCTTCCCATATTAGACGTCTGAGCAGTGGAAGGAATAAGATACAGCAGCATAGGCAAGAGAAACATGCAGCAGTGACCGCTTCAAACTATAATGGAACCAATTATATCATATTACCTGTTGAAAGCTTGCAAACTATACTTACTGTGGTACATATTTGATGCAATAAATACTGTGCTTAAATCATCATTTGTGTTTGCTCAAACATGCACCACTGGGTAAAATTACTATTTACAAAGCAGACTTTTAGTTGTTTTAAATTGACATAGAGTATGTCAACCATACCAAGAGCAGAAGATGGCTAAACAATACTGCAGGAAAAAAGCGGAATCAACTTTATAAAGTGGTGGTGGGGATGTTTTTTGGTCAATTCAGGGTTTTTAGAAAGGACTGATAGGATATTTTTATTTTATGCCAAAGGAAGGACACTTATCAAAATGGTATTAGTCATGCTGCTGGGACTCTGAAGGACTCTGGAATGGTATGTGTGTATCTGTGTGTGTGTATGCGTGTATACATATATATGTATATACACACACATATACATATATACATATGTACATGTACATAGGATGAGTTATGTAAAAATAAAACCACTCTTCAATGTTGGTGATTGTATGGAACATTTACAGGCACATTAAAAGTTTTCTGGATGAGACATCTTAAAAATATGAATAGCTATTTAAGCACCTCAAAAATCTAAAAACATCCTGAAACAAGAAGTAAACTCTTTCCTTTTGTGATGGGATCGTTTTTCATGTGTGAATGAGAATTGCAGCATGCCTTCGTTTAAAATAGATCCAGTTATACAATAGAGAAACGTAGAATTCCCTCCCTGTCATCCCTCTCCCCAAACAGAAACCCGTTTACAAAAATAGTCACATATAATAGTAAACAACCTGTGAATTAAAAAGAAAAGTGATAAATTCACAGCACACATTTTGTAAAAATATGGCAGGTGTGGTAGTTAAAACATAAACAGTGGTGACAATTACTATCAAGTGTCACATGTTGAATTCACATAAAAATTTAACTTCCCTCCCCCGTTTAAATTGGTTCCTATAGTCTGAGTAGCCATGATGTCTCTGCTCTTCAGCAGTGTCAGCTGGTTGTGAAAATAGAAACCTCCTGTCAATACTGTTTCTCTAGTTTAGTGAGTCCCAGTTTGCTGACCAGAGGCCTCTGTCTTGTTATAGGCACTGACCTTAAGTATACATTTGTAAAAACAGTCAGTTTGGCATAGACCTCCTGTGGGAGTCCTGTTGACACAAATACACCACCATCACAGGCTGTAAACAATTTATCACGAAATGGAATATTCTTTGTTTCTTTCTACTTTTTACTTTCCCTGATATCTTTCCCTTTGTCTTCCTTTTCTGATTTGTCTTTTTCAAATTTTTCTTTTTCCGGTTTGGTCACGCTATCATAGGAAGGTGGAGAAGTGGTGGAAGGTGTCATATCGGTTTTCTCTGGAGTTGAATTTTCATTTAGTTTATCAATGAGGGGATCTTCTTTGATAGGTGTCCCATCACATTCTTTGCCTTTGTCTTTCTTATATATGCTTGAAACTTTTTTAACTTTTTGCTTCAAGAGGTAGCGTCTGTAAGCCCTCTGGATGATGATAGCAGACACTTCCTCTTGTTTGCGTTTCAACGTGGTTGTAATGGGCTCGTAAGAGACTTTGGAGGGGTTCGATGCCATGAATCGCTCTTCCATCTGTATTCGAAGGGCATCCATCTCTCCACTCTCACCCAAAACACGCTTTGTGAAAGCAAATAAAATGTCGAGGCAGTGGATCCGGTCGCCACTGACCATGGGCAGATCCATGGCAATGAGCTGGACTTTGTTTGGTTTTGCTATGAGAAGAGGAGGATCCAGGGCATCTGCAAAATCAGAGAGCTTGGAGAACTCTATGAACTGGGTTGCATCAGGATCGAACTTCTCCCAGACCTCGTAGAACATCTCAAAGTCATCCTCACTCAGGGGCTCTGCACTTTCTTCAGTGGCAACACTGAAGTTCTCCAGGATGACGGCGATGTACATGTTCACCACCACCAGAAATGATATGATGATGTAACTGACAAAGAAGAAAATCCCAACAGATGGGTTCCCGCAGTCCCCCTTCACTGAGCTTCCGGGGTGATCTTTTTCAGGGTCACAGTCTGGAGGTCCACTGTTGAGAATAGGGGCTAGCAATCCATCCCAGCCAGCAGAGGTGGTAATTTGGAAAAGGCAGATCATGCTGTTGCCAAAGGTCTCGAAGTTGAACATGTCATCAATTCCAACCTCCCTCTTAACATAGGCGAAGTTGGACATTCCAAAGATGGCGTAGATGAACATGACCAGGAAGAGCAGGAGGCCGATGTTGAACAGGGCAGGGAGCGACATCATCAAAGCAAAGAGCAGCGTGCGGATCCCCTTTGCTCCTTTGATCAGACGGAGGATTCGGCCAATCCTGGCAAGACGGATCACACGGAACAGGGTGGGGGACACAAAATATTTTTCTATCAACTCAGCCAGAAACATACCTATGGAAAAGCAATAAATAACAAAAATAATTGTTATGTCTAATAACAGCAAATGAAATTGTACATCATAAGTGCTACCTAGTTTTACAAAATGTGGACATGAAAATTATATGCAAATAATTTGCAGTATTTATTCAGCAAAATAAAACTTGTATGTTCAGTGTTATAACATTAACACCTTCGTGGATAAAAAACTAATTGGTCATTTTTCCTTGTTCAAAGCAAAAAGCATCTTTCAAAAGAATGACTCAACCACTAAGGGTCTAGCAATGTCATAGTACATAGCAGCCAAGCACAGAAATAAATTTATATTTCTAAAATACTAGTCTTAGTATTTGTATAAGAATGAAAAGATAAGGCATATGAATTTAAATCAGGAATATGAGAGTTTTTATACTTCTGAGGTGGTTGCAACCCTCTTTTATTTGGAAGGAGGCAGATAAACAGAAGAAAACAGAAGCTTTGGAGACAGACGTACTTGAGATGAATCCTGGCCCTTCGTTAGTCTTGATTTCATGCACCACTAAATGGCAATAATATAAATGCTTTGTTGTTAAACTTACATGAGTCTTTTCTTCATGCTAAGCACAGTGTTAGATGCATTTACTTACATAATATGATTTAATCCTCACAATCCTTAAAAAAAACAGGGATTGGAGAGCTGAGGTAATTTGCCCTAGGTTAGAGCAGGCAAATAGTGGAAATAGAAAGTTCAAGGTCAGACCTGTATGGGCCCCAAGTCTCATCTCTTGATGACCATTATTACTATTTCATAGCACTTATGTGAAAACCAAATGGAATGGTACATTGTTACAATAATCTCTCCTGCCAGAGAAAGTAGTATTGAAATGATATCTCAGTTTTCTCTCTGTATATATCTTCCCTTACCTCAAAGAGAACCTTGTCTTAAATCTTCTTAAATTTACTTCTAGCACTTCATTTAATATCTGTACATAAACATTTAATATATACTGATTGTATCGAATTGATTTTGGATGTTTCAACAGAATTTTGATTTCCAAAAAGAAATATCACAAACCCTAGAAAACTATCTGAACCCAAAGATAACACATGAAGCTTATATATGCATAATTATGTATATATAAATGCACATACACCCTCTTCCAATTATAAAAGAGATCACATGTATAGATTACTTGAAGCTTGATGACACACGTGTGTGTGAATTATTGCTTTTAGAGAAATCTTGGACTATGACTAATGTTTCAGTCTTCTCCGATAAGATGATACGTGAAAAGTGACAAATATAAATTCTTTTTTAACACATCATTTTATGCACACCAGGCAGTAACAGAAATGACAAAAACTGAACAATGGGCTATTAGACTTCTCCTTGGAAGTTCAGGATAAGTAAGAAAGATGAGTGAAAATCACCTATAAAATATTAAAACACAAATTTTTACTACTGTATTCCTTAATTGAGTAAAAATACTTCTTCTTACCTACAATGGAGAGAATGACCACTACAAAATCAAAAATATTCCATCCAATGGTAAAATAGTAATAACGAAGGGAGATCAGTTTCAGCACACATTCTCCCGTGAAGAGGACGATGAACACCAGATTAATCCAGTACAGAATGTTCGTCATTTCTTGGCTCTGGTCATCCGTTTCCACCATCATGGTGACCATGTTGAGACAGATGAGGATCATGATGCTGATATCAAAGACTTGTTTGGTTACAAAATCAAAAACCATTCCTTGGAATTTGTTCTAGAACAAATAACATGTAAAAGTTTCCTTAGAAATTAAAAAAAGATCTAATTCAATTTACCAGATTTTTAACAAAGCAGTATGAAAAGGTAGCAGATAGCTTTTATTAAAAAAGACACGATGTTTATTTTCTACTTGGAAGAAATATTTTTACACTGTGATTTCCTACTCTTTGCAAATATATTTGCTTCATTTATACTATTCATGAGATCAACTTTTATAAAATGACTGTAAGTTCAGTACCACCTGTTATGTTCTCAGTGTCCAGGATATCATCAAGGTATGATGGACAGTTAGCGATATTTGCCACCATAGTAAATCTTTTTATCTCGTTCATGTGTTGGGGGGATATTAAATTTAACTTTAATGAGCTAATAAAGAAATTCTTCTCCAGGTTTTCCTCTCATGTTCCCCCCAATTTCTGTATTTGTACTCTCACTAAACCTATACCTTCTAAAATTCCTTCTCAATATTCAGCTAAGAAGATGTATAAAATTATAGTTAAAAAAAAAGAGACAACAGCAGAAAAAATAGTGACTGCTGATTAACTTCGACATGTTATTCAATAATATTGTACCTAGGTGAATTTTTTTAGTTTCAATAACTGATCTATGGTTATAGATGATGTTAAAAGAAGGGAAAGCTGTGTAGAGATTATATGGATAACTCTTCTGTGAGCTATAGTTCACAATGTAGATATTCAACCTTTGGCCTAGTCAATTTGGACTTCACTTCCAAGTACTAATTGGCCTTGTGTCTTATTCATGAAATTAAATCTTCAGCTTATAAACCAGTTCTGATCACTGGCTCCTGTTTGCTTCCATCTTGTCCATATCTGCGTAGTATTTCAGACACTCTGAGGCCCAGGTCTTGACTTATCGCTGTTGATCTTTCTCTACTTTTCAGCTAGAGCAACTGCCCCTCTGCTATCCACTGAATAGCTATTCTCCCAGATTTTGAAACTTTTGTATCTAGATTCTCCACACTAATGCTTTTTCCTCTTCCTGTATGAGACTTTCATTGCTTCCAATTGAAATTTTTTGACATCAAACACTACCTGTTCAGTTTTATTTGGTGCTTATCTCTGAATGAGTGTTTGTCCTGCTGGACTATTTCTATTTCTTCAGCTGGACCTGCCATCTGAGTCCTTCTTAAAGACAGTAAATGCATCTCTTTCCAGTTCAGACCTTTCTATCATAGTTCTTTGCAGTTTTTTGTTTGTTTGTTTTGTCTGGGGCTGGGTTTGAATCCACCACCTCCGGCATATGGGGTTAGTGCCCTACTCCTTTGAGCCACAGGTGTCACCCATCCTTCCTAGTTCTTATTCACTTTAGTTTACCTTTCCAATCCTAGTATGATCCCCTCTGATAGTTCCTACCTCAGACTCTTAGTGAAACATGCATGTTCTACCATATCATTCTACCATGTTTACCTGTCCCCTCTGTTTAGAACAAACTTCCCATATTTTTTCTTTCTCTAGTGATTCTAACTCAATTTTAAGTTTTGAGCACTCTGTACACTCAGAAAAAATTGCTCGTTTACCCATAGTTATATTAGGACATTATATTGCCAATGGTTTTCTCTGATTTAATTTTGGTTGTCTTCCTCTTCCACTTTTTTGGAGGCTTCTCAAAGGGCAGTGTCATTTTGCTCATAGATATACCCTCTAGGGTGTGGTTATATTCAAAATATCTTAAAAGCAGAAATTTGCTCTTACTTTTTTTCTTATCTGCCAGATCAATAAAAGTCTGTTTAGATCTCTGCCCATATCGTTTTTCAGTGGGAGACCTCAGTGCTCAACTCCAATCCAACATCACTGATTATTGTCCCCAATTTAATTCCTTGGGTGTCGAATGTGTAGGAAGAAGCTGTCTAACCCTGAAGGTTTTGTTCAACAAAGATTTTTGTTCTCTAACCTTATCTTAGTCTTTCTAATTACCAATTAGTAGTTTTTGGTCCCTCATTAGTTCCCAGGATAATTCCAAACTCTTCAGAAATTCTATTCTCTTGCCCTCTACTCTAACTTCTTTCTTGAGAACATCAAAGTCAATCAACGTAAAGAATCTGTACTTCCTTTGGCATCTCACATAATCTTGACTCCTGCATTCTTTTCACACAGTACAGTAAATTCATCAATAGAGCCAGCCTCTTTTCCTCTCAAATTCTAACCTAGACTATCCTTGCTCCAGATCCTGTGCAACTTTATCCTGTAATTATTTCCTCTGTTTCCAGTCTCTTCCTTTACAGAACTCCTTTCATTTTGCTTTAAACCTAATCTCTCAACCTTAAGAGACTTCTATTTTGCTACTTCATCTTAATATTCCTTTCTCTTCCTCCCCTACTCTATTGTGGTGACCAAATTCTACAAACCAGAACCTTCCCTTTTTCACCACTGTGTTCTTTCTTATCCTGCTGGACACCATTATTCATCTATTAATAATTATTATACAAGATAGAAGCGCCTCAGTCATTCTTGGTAGTTCCTTCTTCAGTTCTCAAAATAATTAATAGACAAAATTTTAAATTTCACCCCAGTTATAGCTCACAAATCTATTCAGTTTTATTCATCTCCACATCACCCTCGTTTGGGCTACCTAAGAATATCTCTGAGCTCTAAAAAAGTCTACAGTGCTTGCACACTTCCTCTGTTAAGCCAGTTGTCTAAACATTATCAAGCCCAAACTGTCTGGATCCCCTCAGTGGTCACCCACTGTTCATTCAATAAAAACCACTCCTTAAAATGGCCTATGAGGCCCAGAAAAGGCTAGCATATCCTAATCTCATCATTCTCAACATGTCCCAAATGGAACCCACCCTCTACACCCCAGTTGCTGTGGCCCTCCTACCCTCCTACCTAAGGAACTTCACGCATGTAGTTTTCTTCCACTGACCTCTTCTTATTTCACTCTGGCAATTGATATTTTCTTATTCTTCTTTGATCCTCAGTAATGTACTACTTTAATAAAGCCTTTTCTAATTTCCCTGCTTAATCAGCACCCTCCCCCTTATCAGCTCACAGTTGAATGAATTTATTCCTTCTTGAAAATTTCCATTTGTTGGTGTGACTATTTATGACTATTTGATTACTATCCATTGCATTAACTAGACTTTACATTGTTTAGTATTTAGTCACAAATGCTTAGCATAGTAATGGTACATATTGTTAATAACTGAATGAATGGCTTTTACCAGATTACTTTCTAATTTTGTCAAATTGTCCCTGATAATATTCTATATAAATGTACAGATCTTTTTAGATGTATTCATACCCCTACTAAGTTAATAATACATATGTGTCATCTGATGTAATTAAACAGCTTCTTTTTTAAAAAACTTTCAATCATACACACACAATCTTAATGATTAATCTCATTCCTTCACTGATACCTCACTGATTCCTTCATACCTCTCCCTATAACTTGGTGAAGTGCACAGGGCTCCATGTTCAGGACTTTTGTTTTTGTCTGTATTCTGCTTATTTTTCAAAAATGAATTTGTGCTTCAGAGCACAACAGAATTCTGTTTTAACAGCTCTAACGTCCTTACCTCAGTTTAGACATCTCATAGGACATCTAAGTTATGTATTTCTAAATGCATTTATAAGATTTTAATTTATTTTAGTGGAACCAGTAATTTCACAAGACATCACTGTCTTAGATTTCCCATCATCTACATAGTGTCCCCCTTTTGCAACATCTTACAATTGTCTTGTCTCATTGAGTCTTCTTATTGGCTCAGTTAGCTCCTGTGTTCCCATCCTGTTGGCATGAACCCAGATTATGGTCTCATCTTCTCTCACATCTCCTCATTCCAGTCTCTGGGTTAAACTCTCAAATCTGGTTTTCTTCATATTCCTATGCTTTTCTCTTAACTCGATTGCCTGTGTACCACATACTTAAGACCATTTTCTTCAGACTCATATGCCAAATTTGACTCATCTAAACTCAAAAACTGGTGTCTATTGCTCACTAATTAAAATGCGTCACTGTTCTCCACCGATATATTTATTTCCACAGAATTGAATTTTCTCATTTAGGAAATGTGCTTTTCTTCCCATCCATTCAAACTATTGTTTCCTGAAGACTGTATTTGAATTGCACGTTTATTCTGTTTTATCCAATAACTATCTGTTTTCTCTGAGCTACTGGCTGACTTAAAATCTAAACAATTGATCATGGTCAGTTTTATATGGTCATCAATGAATTCACAGAGTCAAGATTCTTCACAAATACCTCATTGCCTTACACTATGTATACCTTGGGGTAGTCGGAGCTTAACATGTGAGTTACTCCTTCAGGAGTAAGGGAAAAACTCAGGGACTTTCCTGGCAATGATTTCCTGCAGCATCTAAACAGAACCAGCAGTCACTGGCAAATATATAAGTGGAAGAGCCATAAAACTATATAAAAAGCATGATAGCATCTCACTTAAGGGCAGGAGAGAACCAGAGACTATGAGGTTTGACTATTTTTTTTTAAGCAGAAAAAAAAAATTGTGACCTGTTTCATTAATGATTCAATTCAATGTGCAGAGTTGGATGGGGCCTCTCTGAGATATACCAAGATTCAAGTCAGTCCTCACTGCATGCTGAGAACATTGGATATTTCCATGTACTGCACACCTATGTATGTATCTTCTTCTCTACATTATTAGGAGCTCCTCAATAACATCAATTTGTGTGATAGTATGGGCACTATCTGAAGTTGGAACATTTTTATTCATATTTTATGTGTTATATAATTATACATATTATGTATATATGTAATACATATTTATCTTTCTTCAAGCTATTGAGGCTAGCTTGTCAATTGTTAAGGTAAAATTTTTCTGTTGCAAATTTAATCTAGCAATTTTGGCAGTATAAGTGATAGATAACATAGCCTTCATTGACAATGAAAGTATGTTAATCTTACAGCAGGTCGAGGTATGGGTTTTTGTGGTTTCTTTGACCCCAGTTTTTTCATTGCATTGTAGTATTTCTTCTGTTCTTCTGTCATAAAAATGTCTTGACCTCCAAAGTAAAGAAATGAAAGCAAAACTTGTTAAAATCATATTCTTTGCCAGCTATAAAACCCACCTTAATAATCATGTGAAAACTGGCTCCCTTATTTCATGTTAATGTTGCTAATACCTGAATTTAGGGATATATATATATATATATAAAATGTATAAATTATGCCATATTAGGAAATCATATTTCTAGACTAAAAATATTGCGACATGCTATCTGAATTACCAATTACTTTAAAACTTATAGCTTATTAAATGTCTCCAAGTAATTTCTGAATTTGATTATCTTTTCTATTGCTGATTGCATTCTGTAGCCTAAAGGAGAGAGTGTGACAGATTTAGTTCACATGTCAGAGAAAAGATGAAGTTTTAGTATACTTATCTTCTTTTTCTGTTGGTTGAAGTTATCTATGATGACACCAATGAAAAGATTCAAAGTAAAGAATGAACCAAAAATGATAAAGATGACAAAATAAAGATACATGTACAGATTGTCTTCATACTTGGGCTGTAATTCGACCTACAAAATATGAAGAGTGATTAGATCTACATGTTTAAAAGCGTATCTATGAATTTTCAATTCTCTAAGTACGTCCCAATCCTGGAAAGGAAACCAAACATTAAACAGTCTTGATGAACTTTTCAAAGCTGGCAAGCTTGCTGAAAAGTCCAGCAAGACTAATCACTGACTTGGGAAAATGAAATAACTAATACAAAAAGTCGGAATAATTATAGAAAATTTCACACAATAACTACCTAGATTATGAATGCACTTTTCCTTTGTAAGCAAAGATCTTCAACACAACATGCAAATTAAAGATTTCCTCTTCCTACAAAAGAGATGTTAGCATCACACTATTCAAACTTAGATGCTTTAAGATTTCTTTTCTTTCTTTTTTTTTTTTTTCTCTGCAGCTTTTGGCTGGGCTGTGTTTGAACTCACCACCCCACCACCTCTGGCATATGGGGCCAGCACCCTACTCCTTTGAGCCACAGGCACTGCCCAAGATTTATTTTCTTTATGTCAGTTTTTACTTTTGTAAAGTGCAACTAATAGAACCTACACCTAACAGGGTAGTTGTGAAAATTAAATATATTAATATATAAAATATTCTTAGAACTATGCCTTGCCAGTAGTAACTGCTAAGTGTAAGTGTTATAAGGGGTATACTGCACACTTCTTTAGACAGGCTAGAATCATCATGTCTGCATACAGGTATAAAATTGAGTCTATTGATTCATCCTATTCGATAGGCACCGTTTCCATAACTATGATATCCTTTCTTATCCAGCCCCTTTTGATTATTAAAAGGCGTGACAGCTGACTTGAACTTTGAGCTTTGGCTGTAATCTGTAGTTCAGGACTCAGAGCACATTGTTCTAATCAACTCAGTTAACCACTGATGATAATGGATGTAGCTTATGACCCATTGTACTACACCTTGTGAAATCAAATAAGACCAACATGATATTTTCTCTAATAAAATTAAGCAAAACAGAAAATATCATAACTATTATAAAACTAAATAATGTTTGAGGAGACTTTTACTTGTATATGTATGTGTTTAGAGAACAGTGATATACAATTATATTTCTAACCCTTTTTTTTTGGATATCAACACTTTTTTATTTTTTTATTAGATGATATTAAATTAAAGATAATACACATATGAGCAAGTGCATAGCACAGAAATGTAAAATGTAATAGGTTTTTGTAAAGTGAAGTCCACAACTTAGGACATGGTCAGAATCTAGAAACCCTGAGAGCATCCTTCTCAAACACAATCTCTACATCCCTGCTAGAGGAATGTTTCTTCTTGCTTTTAGGATAATTACTTCCTGGCTTTTTCTTTAGCATTAACACCTAAATATGCATTTTTGAACAGTAAGCTTAGTTTGTTGACTTTTAAATTATACATAAATGAGATAAAAGTATATGGCTAGCTTTTTTAACTCAAGGCTGTGTATTTAAAATTTCATCCACCTGGTGTAGAAGGGTATATTCATTTCTCCCTCTAGATAATATTCAATTATTTGTCCATTCCACTATTTTCGAGTTGTTCCCACCTTTTACTAGTGAGAAAATGTTAAGTTTTTTCTTGTCCATAGATTATCCTACACATGTTCATCAGTTTCCAAAATATACATTGTTAAAAGTAGAATTTCAGGGTTAAAGAATATCTTGCACTTTATCAAGTGATGTAAAAATGTCCCTAACTGTTTGTAAAAGGATATTTGCTTATTTTTTCCTTCCAGCATTTTAGGAAAGTTCTTATTGCTCTTTATGCTTGGTAACACTTGGCATTGGTCAGACTTTACTATTGGCCATCAGGTAAGTGAGTAGGTAATGTCTCGTTTTGGTTGAAATTTTGCATTTCTCTGGTGACTAATGAAAGTAAGAGCCAGCACCTTTTCATAATTTTACTGCCCAACTGTATTTTGCCCACTCAAATGTACTTGCCGCTGCTTATCTGACAGGAGGTGGAACTTGAGGGGTGATGCACGTGATAGGTGCAGTTGTAAATGCAGATAAAACTTTGACCTCTCGCCCACCGCTCACCTCCTGCTGCACGGCCCAGTTCCTAACAGACCATGGACCAGTCCTGGGCCATGACCCAGAGATTCCGGACAGCAGGTCTTTATGATAAGGTTGCAAGAAAATAATTAGCATGGTGAGTAATAATAAATAATAAAGTATTATTATTATTTATAGAAAGCTCATAGTTGGGATTCCTGATAACACTGACAGAAATACAAGGCATTCTTTTAGTTCTCTCCCTCCCTTCTCTCTTTCTCTCTCTCTCTCTTTTTAAGAGGTTATAAAATAATCCCGGAATTCTTCATTCAGAAAGCTAGTTAATGGTACTAGGGAAAAGGCATTTTGAGTTTCATTCCATGAGGTGGCATTCCTAGAAATCAATCTCTTTCTTCCAAAATGTGGTTCCCTTCCATGTTAAATAGTGAGAAATTAATTGAAATTATAAAGGAATTTTCAAAAATACTATTTTGTATCAGATAGATTATGAAAATCCCTCCCTTCTACCAAATAATCTCATTTCCCAAAAAGAAACACTAGTAAGTATTTTGTTTATTTTGTTTCTTGATTTTTTCTTCACCATTAGTCATATCCCTTTTATTACAAAAAAGATAAAAAGCTGGAGGAAATCTACGACAGCTGAAGAAAATTGCCTGTGAGAACTTCTCATGCAAAAATGGCCAGGCCAAGCAGACTTAAAAATAAAATTTCTAATTTTGCAAATGCAGTCAATAAGTTTTCATGTTAGGTGCCATGCCAAATACTAGAAAATATCTTAAAATTTTTAAAATTAATTGAGGAAAACATCATTATTAAATTTTTAAAGAAATAATTTAAGTATTTTATTTTTATAATACAGATGTGCTTTATAAAATGATCCATAGCTTGATTTAATGCACATTATCACTAAATTACAATACTCACTTCATCAAATTTAACAATTACCTCTAAATAGACTTACATTTCGTGAGTCAACAGCTGCATACATGATATCCATCCATCCTTTAAATGTGGCCTATAATAAAAAAGTCATATCATTGAATTTTTCCCCAAAATTAAAATTTTAGAAAGTAAGTATCAGAGCAGTTGACTGAGACTCATTTTGACCTGTATTCAAATATAAGCATATAAAATAGTTTGAAGTTAATATTGAAGTTCATATTTAAACTTTTTGGACAATGTTTTATGATATATGCATTGAAAACCCTTCAATGTTAAATCATGATCTAATATAACAATAGTGATCAGAAAAGCAATGTCAACAATCTTTGACTCTGAGGTGATGACAAAAATTTACATGAAGTTTGATGAAAGAATTTCACATCTGTATACCAGCATTAGACAAGTTTGAAATTAAACTGCATTATTTGATCTTAACATTTTCTTTTCTACTTATTCTTTTCTAAATGCTATTATCATTAATTATTAATCATGAGCATTTATTTTTGAAATATCTTTAATATTGTTAAACATACTACTTTGAGGTAATTTATTCCATAAGAAGCAGCAGTTTCTTTATCTGAAAACAACTGTATTCAACTGCATTTATTCTTCTTAAACATATTTTTCTATTGTGTGGACACAGTAATCCTGAAAACAAAAGTTGTGTCTGTGGTTTCAGTTCCTTGATGCTGTAGGCTCTGCCCCTCCCTAACTATTCCTACAGTATTGAAGGTTCTGTGGATGCATCACCTTTGGGAACCAGTGGATAGGACGCACTGTGGTCACTTGAGGAGCTGAACTTCTTAAGAATTCAGACGTAGTAGTCTTGATTTTCATTTGTAAGAGAACAATTTTTCTATCTAAAAGTATCCAACCAGGAGCCAGAAAGACAGGAGTCAGGGATGGGAGTCTGGGTGAGAATGTGAAGGCGAGGAGTCTGACTGTGCCGAGGGTAAAATTTGGGTGTGTAGAGACCTGACAAGGATTGAGAGACTATCCAGTACTTGAGCGGGAATGCAGACATCTACCAAGTGTGCTTTCAACATGTGCACGCCTTTTCAACATCCCTTGAACCAACATCTTCTCTCAGAGTACAGACAGGAGAAAACTGTGAGAAACTTGATAGAAATTCCATTAACAAAGGACTTGTTCTGGGTTGCCTAATGCATCGTCTGAAAGACTATAAACTTCGTAGAGCCATCCTGCTTCCAGCATGGTGCATAAAAGATAGTTCAGCGATCATAAGGAAGATGGGCATAAGGAAATATTTGCCATCACTAAGGAAGAAGAATTTGGCTTGATTATTTATTTTATTCTTTTTATATAATTTATTGCATCTACATAAGGTTCCTAAAAATCATTTTTTGTGTCTTTTTTAAAATTAAATCATAACTTTTTTTATTAAATCATTAATGTATTTATGGGATACAATGTGCTGATTGTATATAAAATTTGGAATGCTTACATCAAACTGGTTAACATAACCATCACCTCACTTACTTATTTGATGTGTTAAGACCTTTATACTGTGCTTTTGACATGTACCCTTGCATTGTGCCCATTAGGCAAGGTCCCACCAAATATCCTCCCTCCTCTAGGCTTCAGCCCCCCTCCCTTCTCCCTCTTCTTTCCTCATTCTTTCTGGACTATAGTTGTGTTTTATCATTCATATGAAAGTGTAGGTGATTGTATATTGGTTTCATAATAGTATTGAGTACATTGGATACTTTTTTTCCATTCTTGAGATACTTTACTGAGATGGATATGTTCCAGCTCCATCCAAATAAACATAAAAGATGTAAAGTCTCCATCTTTTTATGGCTACATAGTATTCCGTGGTATATATATACCACAATTTGTTAATCCATGCATGGGTTGAAGGGCACTTGGGCTGCTTCAATGACTTGGCAATTATGAATTGGGCTGCAGTAATAACCAGCATCCTTTCAGGACCAGAACGCTTAAGAAAATAAGCTTAGATGGGTCATTTCTTAAACTGATAGGGGCCATCTACAGCAAACCCACAGCCAATATCATATTGAATGGAGTAAAATTGGAAACATTTCCACTCAGATCGGAAATAGACAAGGATGCCCATTGTCTCCACTGCTATTCAACATAGTAATGAAAGTCTTAGCCATCACAATCAGGCAAGAGAAGGCAATCAAGGGTATCCAAATGTGGTCAGAGGAGATCAAACTATCACTCTTCTTGGATGATATGATCTCATACCTGGAAAATCCCAGAGACTCAACTACACAACTCTTAGAAGTGATCAAGGAATACAGCAGTGTCTCAGGATACAAAATCAATACTTACAAATCAGTAGCCTTTATATATACCAACAATAGTCAAGCTAAAAATATAGACAAGGACTCTATTCCTTTTACAGTAGTGCCAAAGAAGATGAAACATCTGGGAATTTACCTAACAAAAGATGTGAAAGGTCTCTATAAAGAGAATTATGAAACTCTGAGAAAAGAAACTGCTGAAGGTGTATGTTTTTTTAAAAACTAGTACTTTTAATTGGCAATATCTATGTGTACAAAATAATGTTTTAAAATATATATACACTGTGGAGGGGCTAACTCAAGCTAATTATTGATAACTTATATGTTACCTCATGTACCTATCATTTTTGTGATGAGAAAGCATAAAATCTATTTCCTCAGTGATTTTCAAGTACAGGGTACATTGTTATTAACGATGGTCACCATGCTGTGCAATAGACATTCACAATATATTCCTTCCCTGTAACTGAAATTTGGTATCCTTTGACCAACATCTCCCATTCTCCTACCCTCAGACCCACGTGGTCACTGATCTACCTTCTTCTATGAGTTTGACTTTTTAAGATTCCACATGTAAGTGAGATTACGTGGTATTTGTCTCTCTGGGCCTGGCTTACTTTACTTAACATAATGTCTTCCAGGTGCATCCACAGTGTTGAAAACGGCAGGATTTCCTTATTTTTAAAGTCTCAATATTATTCTGTTGTGCGTCTCACATTTTCTTTCTTCATTTTCCTTTGATGGACACTTAGGTTGTTTTGTGTCTTAGCTATTGTGAATAATACTGCAATGGACATGGGAGTGTAGGTATCTCTTTGGTGTACTGATTCTGATCTACACCCAGCAGTAGGATTGCTGGGTTATATGATGGGTCTATTTTTAACTTTTGAGCAACTTCTATACCATTTTCCATAATGGTTGTGCTAATTGACATTCCAACCAACAATGTTCCCTTTCCTCCACATCTTCACTCACTTTCTTCTTTTTGTCTTTTTGGTAATAGTCATTCCTTCTATCTCGTAGGGAAGAAGAACTTTAGATTTAAAATTGGATTTAAATTATACGGCATAGAGAATAATAAGGTGGTTACTTACTACTTGAAGCAGAGAAAGATATCCAAGGCCCACATTATCAAAATTTACTTTCACATTTTTCCACCTGGCAGTCTGATTGCTCTCGATGAGGGCTTTGCATTCACTATAGTTGTTGACTACGCTTACATCAAACATCTCTCCAGTAGTATAGTTAATACAATGGTAAAACTTGCCAGCGAAGAGATTCACTCCCATGATACTGAATATCAGCCAAAAGATCAGACAAACCAGAAGTACATTCATTATGGATGGGATGGCTCCTAAAAGAGCATTTACAACAACCTGGCACAGAATGAGAAGGAAAAAATGAGTGAAAAGCCAAGAACAAATAATTACTTACTTTTACTTATTTCTAAACATTATAAAAAACATAATAGACAACTGATAGAATACATCTGTCTCAAAGCTGCATACTGGGTTTACTAGACTCTAGTAGTTCCAACTAAGAATTTTAAAATTATAATTCAGGAGAGTATAAAATAAGTTTTATGTTATAGAATGTTTTCTCATGAGGCAAAGGTATGCATATAGAAATTTTTTTTCAAAGAATGAAAATAATACATACAAAGAATAATTTAGAGTAAAAATAATAATGTGACTATTGAAGGAAGCTTGTCTTGTAAACATCTCAATTGTTTTTAAAATCATGCAAACTAGGGCAGTGTCTATGGCTCAAAGGAGTAGGGTGCTGGCCCCATATACCAGAGGTGGCAGGTTCAAACCTGACTCCGGCCAAAAACTGCAAAAAAAAAATCATGCTAACTATGCAATTTTATACCCACATTTTGAGAGGAATACTTAAGAGAGAATACTTAAAGGCCAAATTCTATACAGAAAATATAAAAATTATTCTAGTGCTGAAAATTTGATACCCTTAGTTTATTAAGCCTACTGCTACAAAAACTGAGTTCAGATTGGTAAAGTGAAAAGAATTTAACATCTAATAACTATCTTCTATGTAACCATTCCTATACAAACACACAGAGACCCTCCCCTGCACACACTGCCCATCTTTGGTTGTATTTACAGCATTCAGATGAAGTCTAGGTAACTTTTTTCAAATATCACAAAAAGCATCATTTTCTAAAAGTTCCTCTTGGACAGCTAAAACCACTGAGAGAGTTTTGACAGTTTTCTAGTGGTAAGGGCATGTGGCCTCAGGTTTTGTGCCTCTGGGGATGACCAATGTCAATATAAATTCCTCCCCATTCCTTTATACCACCTTTCTAAATGACTGTTAGATTTCCACAGCTGACCTACTTTTTAGCCATCTCAGCCAGTGTTTGAATACTATGTGAAAAGCCAAACTTAGTCTACAAGGGACTCCAAGTACATTCTATAGAGCAGTGAAAAAATGATGAGTAATGATTTTGTATTAATTACAATGAGTAGGGTTTCCCACACATTTATAAATCCAGATCTACAGCTTAGGCAACCTGATAGAGATTTCCTGCCAAGTGCAAATCCGGTTACTTAGAAGCAGATACTGAACCATTATATTCTGTGGTAACTGCCATGCCAAGTATTCTGGACGTCTGATAAATATTATTATGGATTGATAGGCGATGTCAGTATGAAGGTAGAAGACACAAATTCTCCATAAATTTCTAAAATACAAAGTGGCAGTATATTCTCAATTATAATTCCAACAAATTCCAAGCATTTGGTCTTACCCTCATTCCTTCAAACCTGGATAAGGCTCTCAGGGGCCTCAGAGCCCTTAGTGTTCTGAGGGATTTGATGGCACCAAGTTCTGAGTAACCCAAGGCATTTGCAGTTAAGCTAACCAATGAGACCTATACAGAAAAAGCAACACAATTGTCTTATTTACAGTCAAAATGTATGTATAGTTCAACCTGGCTCTAGGCAATGAACCAGTAGTTCTCAAATTTTAGTGAGTTTCAAAATCACCCAGGGGCTTTTTAAAAACACTGTTAGCTGATAGTCTAATTTAGTAGGTTTGGGGTAAGGCCTGAGAATTTGCCCCTGAGAACTTGTTCTACAAGTTCCCACAAGCGACTAATAATGACGGCCCATGAACCCCAATGTGAGAATAAGGTGGTTATTAGCTAAAATCTCAGCTAAAAGTAAAAGAAAAACTGTCATGAGGGCACATAAGTGCCTAATTTTCTTTGAAAATATGCATAAAATTTATTAAAATTATATAAACTAAGAAGAGATGTTTTATCCTCGTGCACCTGAATATCAAAAGCATATAAACAAAAGTAAATATGCAGTATACCTTTTAAGAGCCTGGTGTCAATAGATACTTGAAAAATATTTTTTTAATATAAATAAGTGAAGCACATACAAAATTATTGCAGTGAAAGCGAACTTAAACTAATTTTGCACATGCAATTTTAAAGTAAAACTTCTTGAGTACAGAAAAAAAATAAAATTTTATCTTACGTGGTTTATATAGCTTATAAAAGCTAAGCTTTTAATCTTTATAAGTCCCCTCTTCACAGATAATTGAAAAACAGTTACTGAATTATCATGAATTGTGAAGATTTTCTGCATATAAGATATGAGGACCTGTAGTACTTTACCTTCTCTGAAGACAGAACCAAAAAGAGACAGGCATTAGTTAAAGGATGAAAGATAAAGGTTAGACATATGAAAAATATTCTGAAAGGGTAGTACTGATTGGCAGATGAGAAGAGGTAGTCAAATATCCAATTTTATGTGAATTGTGGAGCTAACTGTGCAAGGGAGTTGCATCTGGGTCCATCTTCTGCCACATTTCAGTGATCTCCTGCTTGGTCTCCTGATCTCTCAATAGTCCCATTTCTATTCCACCATCACAGCCCCACCAAACTTCTCTCCCTCAAGACCAAGCCAGACTCATCACTTCCATGTATGTCACTCTTCAGTGGCTTTCTCTTTACGAAATCGCAAGTCCAAATTTCCTTGGATGGCATCTCAGGTTCTTCAAACTGTTCTGTAACTTACATTTTTTACCTTATCATGCAATTACAAACCTTTCCTCTCACCTTCTAGTGCTCTGTGCTGACCTTGAAGGACCACTCATTTCTAGAACTGGCCCCGGATGTCACCCATCAATGTGGTAACACCTCAGTGTCACTCCCTGATCTGTGCCTGCTGACACTGTCATCCCTCCAACTCCACCTCACACTCCCCTTCCTTCAGCAAGCCTGTCCCTCTCTCAAGGGAAGGGGACTTCATTCTAATGCAAGGATCAACTGGACATTGTTCCATTTCTGTCCTCATTATTTGACAGCAAGCTCCTGCAGGGCCAGAAAAATGGCTTACTCACATTCATTATCTTTCATAACAAAATACGTGAATAGTAAAGACATTTGATTTAGGACAAAGCATGGATCAATTTAATATACTAGCATAGCAGTTTCCTCAACTCTGAAGAGGTAAATTCCAGAGTATCGTAGGTAAATGAGCATGAGCTGCCGGGCAACCAGATGTCCCTTCAGCTTTTCTTTCTTTACAAGTAGTATTTACGTAATGCCTTGTACGTACATAGAGTAAATGTCAGATATTTTATTATACATTTGCGAATCTAACATAACTACGTATAGAATATAGATAAAAATGCTATCATACATACATCCATTTTACAAATAAAGAAATGTTTATAGCTTGGCGCATTTTCCCATCATTGGTAAAGTCTAAACATATGCTTTTATTGTCTCATTATTTATTTATTGTCTTGTTGCTTTGCTTTTACTGTAATTCTGCATGTAGCCTCAATAGGTTATATTTAATAGCAGGTTTATCTCATATTCAATTATTTTAACGTCCTTTTCTCTTCTTACTCAATTTCAACACCAATGTGGTTTAATAAAACTTTTAAATAATTGGTGAATAGCCAATTGGTTTCCATTATTTTGTAAAAATCCAATGATGTGTCTCATTTTTGTGACTTTCAAAGTTCTTTATCATTACTAATCTATCTGTGCGACCAAAACTTCTCAACTGGCTCCAGTGATGACCAAGGCACTAATGTCACAGATGCTTGTGAAGAATGCAGATACAGCTATTTTGTGAAATATAAGAGTGAATAAAGCAAAATTTCTAAATTGATATGCTATTTTGTATAACTTGGGATTTTAAATATTAATTTGAAACTAAATCATTAGGTAAAATATGATGGTACTTGGCTGTTTCATCTATTGAATCACGTATTAAATTAGTAGAAATTGTTTGGAGGCATCTTCTTATAAGAAGCAGGAAACATCACTTACATTTGGTCTGATGTGATATTTACTGAGTGCTTGCTATGTGCTAACCACCATGGCTAGACTAGTACGTATCATCACAAGTCAAAAAATGAAACAGAAACTGCAAAATACTCACATCAACAATCAGGAAGTCTAACCAGCACCAGGCATTGGTAAAATACATCTGAAAACCATACGCAACCCACTTGAGTAGCATTTCCAGGATGAATATGTAAGTGAAAACCTTGTCAGCATATTCCAACATGGTCTTAATGGTTTTTCTCTGCTCGATATATATATCTTCAAATGCCTGTAAGTGAAAGGATTCTATTAAATTTTATTGTCATGAACAGTCTCTAAATGAGGTCTTTTTAGAACAGAAAATGATACAAGCCTCTTAACAGGTGCCTGAGGCTGCATTTTACTTTATAATTATTTATACATGGATAACTATTGACTGGACATTGCAGTCAACTGAGAATTCAAATTATTTTTAAATTTTGCTATCAATGTACCCCAAAAGAACTTGATTTTTTTAAGAGCTTGCTATGTGCTTCTGTCTAGAACTGGAAGTAGAAAGTCACCTGGGAGTAGCTCTGTCTTGTTAAGTGCAGGCTAACTGGAATGTACCCTCCCAGTAACACAGGAATAAGGCAAGGAGGCCCTTCAGCCTAGGGAAAAGAGGAAGGATTGCCATCTCTCATTTTCTCCCTCTTTCTTTCTTTCCTTCCTTCTCTTCCTCTCTTTCTTCTCTTTCTCTGTCTCTCTCTCTCTTTCTTTTTCTTTTTTCATTAAATCCTGGCTGTGTACATTAATGCAATCATAGGGCACAACGTGCTGGTATTATATACAATTTGAAATATTTTCATCAAACCGGTTAACATCGCCTATGCGGCATTTTCTTAGTTATTGTGTTAAGACATTTATATTCTACACTTAGTAAATTCCACATGTACCCTTGTAAGATGCACCATAGTTGTGACCCCACCAATTACCCTCCCTCCCCTGATCCTCCACCCTCCCCTCCCCTTTCTCCCCCCTTCCCCCTTCTTCTTGGGCCATAATTGGGTTATAGCTTTCATATGAAAACTATAAATTGCTTTCATAGTAGGGCTGAGTACATTGGATACTTTTTCTTCCATTCTTGAGATACTTTGCTAAGAAGAATATGTTCCAGCTGCATCCTTGTAAACATGACTTTCTCTCTCTCTCTTTCCTTCCTTCCTTCCTTCCTTCCTTCCTTCCTTCCTTCCTTCCTTCCTTCCTTCCTTCCTTC